CAGGTAACTTTTCGTTTGTCTTGTTAATGTGTTAAAAAAAGAAAGACATCAACACCAGATGTGTCTGTTAAATAAACAAAAACATCAAGTGTCTATTGTTTTCTTTTTCTTTTATTTAGTTGGTTATTAATTGCCTTTTCAAAAGAATTTAATCTTTTCAACTTATGATCGATTATTCATCTTATTAAACAAAAGTTTGTATATAAAGTGAAATAAATTTTCATATTGAATTTATTTTATATTAGATTATGGCTGAAGGAGGTGATATTCATCAAGAAAGTCGAGCCAAATGGCCGATTAGCGCTGATGATTATGAACTTGGAGAAATAATTGGTAAAGTTTTAAATGAATAATAATTGAATTTTATTTGAAATCTTGAATAGGTCGAGGTGCTACAGCACTTGTTCAAGCTGCTACAGTTAAAAAAACGAAAGAACGTGTTGCAGTTAAACGAATTAATCTTGATCGATGTAATACGTCCCTTGAAGAACTTTTGGTAAGTTTTCGTATAAGAAGAAACTGAATTATTGTAAATTTTATATTTTAGAAAGAAATACAAGTTATGAGTCAATGTCAAAATGAAAATGTCGTACGATTTAATACATCATTTGTTGTTGGAGAAGAATTATGGCTTATTATGAAATTGTTAGATGGAGGTATGAAAAAGAATCTTTGAATAAAATGTTTTTTTATTAAGTTTTATTTAGGTTCATTACTTGATGTTATACGTTATACAATGCAACGAGGAAATTGTCGTAATGGTGTACTTGATGAAGTTGCTATTGCAACAGTTTTACGTGAGGTTATCAAAGGTTTGGATTATTTTCATTCAAATGGTCATATACACAGGTAGAGAAGAAAACAATTCTCTCGAAAGATTTTTGATTATTATGTTGTTTTTGTTTTCGTATATTTTAAAGAGATATTAAAGCTGGAAATATTCTATTGGGAACAGATGGTAGTGTTCAAATTGCTGATTTTGGTGTTAGTGCATTTATTGCATCTGGTGGAGATATAACACGAGATAAACAACGACATACATTTGTGGGTACACCTTGTTGGTAAGTATTAATACAGATGAAAAACAAATTGTGGTTTATTTAATCAAATATATAGTTAAACTAGAACCTTAGGGTATCATAAAATATAAATCTGAAACCGGAATTGTTCAGTTAGTTTTGCTCGAAAATAGTCCATTTCTTAATTATATCCATTCTTTTTCGAGTATGCTAAAAACGCTTGAAGTTGATTGTTTTGTAAAACTGAATAGACTAACATTTATAGGCAAGAAATGCACCAGGTTTTGATTCTAACTCAAGGGTGATGAAGTGGAATTAACATGATTCGAGTAGATCTATGCACTGAGTTAGCAATACCTTGCCAATGCTTTTAATGTAATTATGAATATTCTTGCAAGTTCAATGACATACTAATCGATCATTTATACATTGTAACTGTTTTATCATGTTGAATTATATTTTTTCGTTATTATAAATTTGATTTTATCTGATAGCTATGCTAATGAGGAGAAATCTGTAGAACATCTATTATTACTAAGTCAGTATACCCGCAGAAATATTTTGATAACCTTACATTTTAATCTTAGTATGGAATTTAACAGTTGCATATCTGAAAATATTCTAATGAGTCAGAATAATGTGACAGTTTATGTATAATTTTAAATAAACTCAATTTTATATTTTAGGATGGCACCTGAAGTTATGGAACAACAAGTAAGTTTATATTTACTTTCATATCTTTTAATAATATTGTTTTTCTTCTAGCCAACTGGTTATGGTATGCGAAAGAGTTTTCTAATATTTCTCTTCAATATATAATTTTATACTCTTTAATTAGATACTAAAGCCGATATATGGTCATTTGGTATATTGGCAATTGAATTAGCAACTGGTACAGCTCCTTATCATAAATATCCTCCAATGAAAGTTAGTATTTATTTCATGAATATTACAGATTTACTAGAAGAATTTTTCTAGGTTTTAATAATGACTTTACAAAATGAACCACCAACATTAGAAATATGTGCAGAAGATCGTGATCAATATAAGCAATATAGCAAAACATTCGGGTAATTTTGAAATTTTTAATATATTCCAAAATCTATTTTTTCTTCTCGTTTTGTTTTCTATAGTAAAATGATCGAACAGTGTTTACAAAAAAATCCTGCTGATCGTCCAACAGCTAAACAATTATTAAAACATGATTTTTTTAAGAAAGCTAAAGATCGTTCATATATAGCTAAACATTTAGCATTAAAATTTCAAGATCGAAAAAAAATGGAAGAAAAAACAATTAATCGACGTAAGCCAACATCTGTACGTGCTGTACGTCTTAGTGATAGTGGAGAATGGAAATTTAGTAGTGGTTCAGATGATGAAGGTGCAAGTGGAAATGAAGCAACAACAACATCAGGTGATGATGCAGCAAATAAATTAAAAAATCTAGAAAATCAAACTGTTAAAAATATGGGAGATTTAATTGAAAAAAATGACTCTGCTATTAAATCGGTATAAAGAATTTCTCTATTTTATTAGAAAAAGAAAATATTCACTGTTTTCTTTTCGTTTTTGATTCAATCATATTTAGACTACCCATTCGAATGAATCAACATCTCAAGCATCTGTTAGTGATGTGACTACTGGAATTAAAGAACTATCCACCGATAACAATCAAGTATTAAAATTTACCCTAAGAATACGGTTAGTATGAAGAAAATACGAAATTTAATTGTAATAGATCATCGTTTTTACTTAAATAAGAATCAGTAGATATGTATTCGAAATCATTGAATGAACGATAATGAGTTGATGATTTAGATGACATTTTGTACATAAGTTCATTCTATCAATGTCATTCCGAGACGATCAAGTTAACTTCTGATTTGATCTCAATAAAATATAGGCTTTTTAGAAATGTCGGAAGTCTTTCTCAATTTTCGTTAACCATCTCATTTCTCAACAGATACTCTAATGACACTACATTGATGTCTTTATTTCACAGTAAGAAAGCAAATTTTTGTCTTTATCATCAAGTATATCGAAAACGGATCGTGACAAATTTTTTAAATAAATGATCAGTTCAATGTTTATCATAACTTGATCTTGCCCACTTCTAAAACTGTCTACGTATTATTGTTGAGAATATATAATACAAAATTTTGAAGACTTCATAAATGATATTTTTATAAATTTATTTAGAAATATACAAGGCGATCTACATGATATTAAATTTGAATTTAATAAAGTAACTGAAACTGTACCAGACGTTGTTTCAGAAATGGTCTTAGCTCATTTAATTGATGAACGTGATGCACACTCTGGTAAATTCTTCTTTTTCTTCTTCGTATTACAATTCGTTATACTTTGATTATTTAATTCTAGTTACTTCTACAATGACTCAACTTGTTGAAAATCCATCACTTACAACTGCTACATTTGCTCTGGTTAGTTAACATAGTTGTCTTTTTTTTCAAAATTCTTATAAAATATTTAAAATTAGGCATCATATGTCGATCCTACCCAACCAGCCGACGATAAATTACTTATTGGCTTTGCTCAACTTTCATTAAACACTTGAGAAAGACGGTGCTCTGTATGTGTCTATATGTGTGCACGTGTGTTTGTAAAGCCAGGCTTTTCTATTCTTATTCGTATTCAAGTGAAAGATTATTTTATGTGTTTAATGTCTGTTTGTAAGATGTTTTTCTCCTCACTATATTTTCCTTTCAATTCTTTATACCATCCATATTTAATTAACCAACTAAAGAAAAACAAAATGAAATTTTATTGTCGTTGAACATCAGTCATTTGTCTAGCAGATAATTTATTCTCGAATCTCTCTGTGCATGCATGATTCGTTCTATATCCCCCTTGTCTTTTTGTATCATATATATATGCTTGATTTCTTTTTTTCTTTTTTGCTCGTATATGTGTAACGTGTTTATTTTTCACAAATGCTTTCTCTTCTTCTTCTTCATCTTCTACTACTTCTTTAATTTACTTCGTTTTTTTTCCTACTTACATCAGTGGCAGTCACGAATAATTCCTTATTTTTCCTCGTTGAAAAACCCATATTTATCTCAATCAAATAGGAAGACGAAAGATAAACATGAAAACAAAAACAGTCTGATTTGTTTTTTAAACTTGAAAAGTTTGAATTGATGGATTGGTTAATGTTAACGATTGATTTACAATACTCTCAGTTGATTCAATATTATTTGTTGTTGTTGTTGTTACAGGATTCATTGTAACAGATATCGATGGATTTTCCGTTACATGTGATTCATATGGAGGAGGAAGTGAAGAAGCAATAAATGAATGATCTGATATTTCATTAGCAGTATAAGGCGGTGGTGGACTACGAAAGCCTCCAGCATAATGTGAACGATGAAGACGAGAATGATTACATGCTGGTCGTCGATGAACATGTATCGATGATGATAAACTTGAATTAATACTTGATTCATCCGAATCACCTGAGTTATTTTTCTTATGACAAAATATCACAATAGCTATTAATATACACGGTACACTTATTAAAAGTGCTACACAAACACCTAATATTGGCCAGAACCATGTTGTATTTACAAGTGAATTATCAAAAGTAACTGAAATATAAAAATACAATATACTGATAAAATTTTGTAACTTGAATATTATACCAGATTCTGCATTATTTAAAACAAAATATATCAATAATATACCAATCGATAAGAAATAATCCATTATATTCATGTGTTTCGAATACTTCTACTAGTATATAATATACGATGCATTTCTGTTTCTTTACTGCTTACTTATAAGAAGCCATGGATATATTTACAGAGAGAGAGAAAAAAGAAAATCTTATATAGCTTCTTATTAAAAGTTCTACTAGAGCTGTTTATAATGTAGATTTTTGTATTTAAATAATATGCAGAGTAAAAAGAAAAATAATGTGAATAGTTCATCATATGTATTATTGTTTTTGTTGTTGAAAGGAAAAAACTTTCGGATCGTTAGGTCTTTTATTAATCACAACTAGTGTAACAAAAGAAAGACAAAAAAAAAAGAAAATATTTTTTCTACTTTTATGTAAGAATCAAAAAAAAATTATATCGATAGAAATATGTATAGTTCAATTAACCAAATGTTTGAACGAGTGGTCTTGATAATAAATCTGGTTGAAGAATATTATATGAACAAGATGGTGGATGAAATAATGTCATCAATGATTGAAATTTATCTGTAGTTTCATTTGTAAAATCTGTTTGTGCATTCGAAGATAATTTTTCAAAATTAAAAAAATAACTTTGTTTATTATCACTTGTATTTGTTCTTTGATGATCATCTAAAAGAAAAATAATAATAAAAGAATTTTCCTTCTATAATTATGACATACTCCAATAACATAATGATGAATAAGAACAATTTGTTGTTGGATTTAATGTTTTCATTAATGTTGAATGTGTTAAAGTACTCATATGTATCGCAGTTAGAATTGATAATGTTGAGCCAAGTAAAACTAAACTTGTTAATGCAAGATATTCGATAATTTGTGGTAGAAATTGAAAACATAGATTATAAAATTTCATTGGATCATCATGTTCAATTTTGTCTATATTTTTATTTAATTTTCTAGCTATTTGACATTTAAATAAAGTAAAAAAATTGTGTAAATTCATCATTTGATATATATAAATTCCAATCTAATGCTACTAAAACTTGTCGTTCAATTAAATTAATACGTTCAGTACTAATACCAGTCAATTCCATTAAATCTGAGTTAAACAATTGTTCATCTTCACCTTCATCAACAAAATATTTATTAGCAAGTAATGTTGCTATTAAATATAATTCTTTCGTTGTTAAATTATCTATTTTTGATAATGTTAATGATGAAGGAAGTGAACGTAAACGTTTCATATATAAAAGGCTTAGAACAAATACACATGATGGAAGATTTCGACTTCTAGAAAAAAATTATTTTTTTCAAATAAAAATTTTCGATGTCAATAAATATCAAAAACACATACTTGCAAACGCTTAAAGCTAAAGCACAATCAATATTCAATAAATGCTGTAATTGTACAGCTGATTCATCTAAATAAAACAATAAGAGATAAAATACTATTCTACAATGAGCTTTTCTATTACATAACATTCAGTTATAAAAGGTTTTTTTCTAACTGTACAGAAGTCTTAGGTTAAGTATTCTTCAATAAAGCTTATAAAAACTCTTTACTATGATTTCATTCAATTTCTTACCAAAATCAGATAAAACAATATCATCTAGAATAAGATCATCATAATGTGAACTTGAATAATCGTTGTTTTTTTCACGATAAATCTAAATAATCAATCTAATAAACAATTTGTTTAAATAAATAAATAATAACATACCATAATAATCAATCGTTCGATTAAAATAATAATAACAATAATAAATCTGAAATATATCTTATTTTCAATCTTATGTCTTAACAAAGATATATATAATTAATCTAATTAAAATTGAAACCTATAACTCTTCAATATTCGAATCATCTAAGTGAAGTATTTAATCTTTCTCCGTTTCATTTTATTTCAATTAAAAATGAATGATAGTATATCAGCGTAATTGCGCAATTATTTCATCATTATATTACGTAACAATTGAAAATGAATCATTATTAACAAATAAAAACTAACACCTATCGTAGAGGTTAATCTATAGGGAGAAGAAGTCTAAATGTGAAATGACTAACATCAAGAATAAGATTAATGTACTACTATTATAATTCAATATTTTATGACACGAGCAGAAGCCATAAAATTTTTATACTGACTTAGCTGAAAGAAAACAATAACAATCGTATAATTTCCGTTTCTAGTTATAAAAAAAAATAATGATAGATTTAAATATACATTACCACCTGTTATTGAATTTCTATTACTTATTTATCTAGAATAGAATACATGAGATGATTTATTGTATTATAAATTAAATAAAAGAATTATAGCTCGATTTTATATGATATTTTAAAATTAGATCGCTATTAATAACGAAAAAAAAAGTTTTTGGTTCAGTATCACAGTTTATATTTTTTTTATGATTTAATTTCTTCGTGATGCTTCAAGTATACGTAAAATTTCGATAAATAAACGTGTAATATCGAGATAAATTTGTATAGCTGCATCAATATATTCTTCTGGTGAAGTTTTACGCATAATTTGTTGTGTATCATAAACTAAGTAAAGACTAAATAAAAGTGCACCACCTAATGCTAAACCTAATTCCATAATTGGACCACCGATAAATATCTAAATAATAAGAAAATTTTATATTTTAAATTTAAATATTTAATTCTTACTCGAAGAAATCCGCCAGCAATTAAAACCAATAAACATGCATATAAACCAGCTCCCATGGCAGAGAAATCTCGTTTAGTTTGAAATGTATATACTGTCAAACCAACGACAATAACAGCTGTTAAAATAACAGCTTGAATAACTAAGATTTTATCGAAAAATGAAACAATTGTTCCAATTGTAAATGATTCAAATAAAGTAAATAGTGCAAGTAAATAAAGATTTGTTGGATGTTCTAAACGTTTTGCATATACAGCTAATAAACTAACCATCGTTGCCAAAAACATTAATAACAAAAAACCAGGATTATTTTGAAAAAACATTTTTACACCTTCTAATGATACCATTATTGTTGATACTAATGCAACAAGACATAGTTGTGCAGCAACAATACCATAAACCTTACGTAAAAATTCTATAATAAAGAAATAAATATTATAATTAATTTAAATTTCAAGATAATAATCTTACGCATGCGAATATGAATATGACATGATGCGACATTACTGCCATACATAAAATCATCTTCAATTGAACTTCGTCCAACGTCAGCCATTTTTCGTTAAATTATATTGCAAAATAGATATACACTGTACTTTTTTTTAATGTGATGTTACAAGGTAATATGAGAAAATGTGATGAATATAATTGCCTGATGTTATGTTATTGTTTATTTTTTCGTCTGAATGACACTATATTACTCACTAAGTCATTAATTTTGTAGTCGACATAGCGACCAATCATAAGTGGATTTTGATAGAGGGCAGTATTTATTGAAGAATCTATGTATAAAAATAAAGTTCGTGCGTATTGAATTGCCAATACGAGTTAATGTTTCGTTTGACTGCATTGAAGAGCACAAAATATATACATTTGATAGAATTAGATGTATGAATGATTCTTTTATTGACAATTTTTGTCGTAATATTCTGTTTTTAAATAATTTACTAGTCGTATATCTCCGCATATATATATCAAAATAAGGAAAATTAACTAGGTAAATTAGTAACGATGAGCATGACAAAAAAATATTTATGTAACGCAAACGTCAAATTAAAAATTATTCATGGTAACTCTTCAATATTTATATTTATTCTTAAAAATCGTTATTGAATATATATATAATACGCATATCTCCATAAAAAAATCTTATTAAATGTTATTTGCTGAACGAGAACGAACAACATCAGTCGAATTGATAATTTGTTTTGTCGATGAATCGATAAAATGTAAAGTTGCATGCGTACAATTTTTGATTTCTAACTGCTGAAAACCATAACCACCAAAAAAGAATGCTCGACGATACATATCTGCTGTATCAACTGTTTCTGCACCTGTTGGTGCAGCACCTGCTCCATTCGTTACATGAATAACACCATCTACATTATTGAAATGGTTTGCCACTACATCACCATTACAATCCAGTGGATATAATAATTCCATCCAATGAACATGACCAGCCATGAAGAAATCAACACCATATTTGCAGAGAATGGGTAAGAAAGCATCTCGACATGCCGCACAATTGTCTGATGGTGCAATGATTGGATATCCAGCTAAAAGTGAATATATTTTATTTATAAAAATTATTGAAATATGAACGTTCTTATGTAATCTCATAGATTTTATACTTTTTTTTCTCAAAGAATTATAATAATGAATTTATAAAATTTGACGCCTTAGAAAAAGTTCATAATTATTAATAAAAACTGATATAGTAGAAAAGAAATAACTATCTATTGGTGATAAAAAATGTATGTACATACTAACGTATTAAGTCAACATCAATATCTGCTTTACTTACCAATTTGTACCTGAGCTTTCGAAGTACTACCAAACATTGGTCGATGACCAGCAACAATGATCCATGGTCTTTCGGCTCGATTTTCTGGCTTATTAGCTTCTATAAGATCTTGCTCGAACCATGCTAATTGACTATCAATACCAAGAAAATTTCCTGCATTCAGAGTTGTTCCTGGTCCAGATGGTGCATCTTTAAAATCGGTTTCTGTATTAATCATAACTATATGTGCTTGACCGTAGTCGTAAGAATACCACATATTCTTGTAACCACCACTCAATTCACCAGACATATGAAATCGGTTATTGTAAGCAGTAAAATTTTTTAGATGCTGTGGACATACTTTGTCACTAAGTTGTAAGCATGTTGCTTCATGATTTCCTGGTAAAACTTGATAAGGCATAATGGATGTAATTGGTTCAATGGCCTTTTGAAATCGATTCCATGTATCTTCATAGAAATCAAAATTAACGATAGCTCCATAGAGATCTGCATAGGAAATATCACCAATATGCATAAAAAAATTTGAAATACTAATATATTTTTTCATAGCAATTATAGTTTGTTCAGCTTCATAATTATTGAAATAAGTATTTAAACCCAAATCACCAACTATTGAAATATTAATCGGTTGTAACTCACAATTAATGATAAGAGGAGCCGTAGTAAAAGAAAGAATGCTTGATGCTCGAACACATTTTTCTGTTTCTTGAATTTTATAATAATATTTCGTTCCTGCATCAAGATTATCCAGATAAACATTGTGAAAAAATCTTTTAACAATTGGATATGGATTGTATGATGTTGTGAAATTATATGATGATAGTTTGTCACATACTTTTGGATCAGTACCATAAGCCACCTGAGGTGTTGGTGTATCGTTTATTAAATTCCAAAAATCCCAATACCCACATGTTGTCCAAGATATTGTCACACCAGTAGGTCTTAATGCTATACGAATGTGTTCTGGATCAGTTTTCGTCCAACAAATAGCAGAACCACCAACATCTTTTGTAATGATCGACAAAAACATCAAAATATAAACTATCATGTTTACTGCATAGGTAGCCATGATAATTGTTACTACCTGTAATGTAGAAAAAGTAGGATATATATATAGATGGTCGAAACTAGACGATATTTATTATTATTTCTGGTATAAATCATAAGATCGATATATCACATGATAGATAAGAAAAACAATTGTGATAGAAAATGATGTATGAATACTTATACAATCACATGCTACATACATTCAGATGAATAACAATAAAAATAAAATAGGATAAAAATAGTTAAGTCAATATCCAATGACTGAAATATCGAATTTATAGGAGTATTACATGAAAATATATATATTTGTTTTTCAATTACATCAAGGTATGTTTACATCAGGTGATATTTTCTTGAAATCTATAGCATTCAACATATAGATTTATTATATCATAAAACAAAAATCATCTATTCTTTCATAATCTTTCTAGAAAGAGTTTCTACTTCTTAACTTTTATAAATCAAATATTTTATTAAATAATAAAAAAATCGATACATATATATATATGATTGTTATGAATATTATGTTTGTTTTAAGCTGTACTTGATGGATTCATTGCCATTGCATATGGATTATGAAATGAAGTGTGCATTGGTTGTGTTTGTGGAACATATGCAACATAACTTGGCATTGTTGAGGTCATCTGTGGTCGACGTGCACTTGTGATAACAGTTAAAATCGTAATTAGTAACCAGAATGTAAAAAAATTACTAATTAAGTCGACTATTAATGCGATTTGTACTTCATTTTCAAGGCATGTAGAAGGATAGGAACAACGAGATCCATGACCGTATATACCAAAGAAAATGATACAGTACACAATAAATGTAGCAATTGTAAAAAGCATTTGAAAATATGCTACAACAAATAGATTTGATAAAACATAAACTTGTTGACAAGCTAAAATAAAAGTTAGAATGCCAAATGATATTAAAAAAAATCCATTGACAAAGCCAATAATAAAACTAAAAAACAAGAATTCAATATGATTTCATTGTAATAATTTAACAACGTTTACCTAAATATATTATCGTGTAAAAGTCGAAATTCTATTGCAACATTAACAATACCAATGATAATACAGAAAACAGCCAAAATATTTAGTTTTTTTGTAACATTTGCAGGAGTTTTTGTTAAAAAATGTTTCCAGTTTTGTTCACCAACGTTGTTATAATTAACTGCCTGTAAAGTCGAAAAATTCAGTGATGGTTCAGCATTGTAACCTGCACTAGGATTTTGCGTATAGGATGGATTCATTTATTTTTCTTTCGATGTACAGATTCTTTTTTTTAAGTAAACTCTATGTCGAAGAAGATCGAGGAATAGATAACAATTTTACTTTAACTTTGCAAAAATAAATAAACATTTTCCTTTGTCATTGTTAAAGATATGAATAAAAATCTGATAATGTATCATTTTTTTTTAAATATTTTGATATACTTATCAGTGATGACATGCACTCATCTGATTGTTATGATCTATTAAAAACTAAAATAATAGTTTACTAAATTTTATCATTTCCATCGAGAGTTACTTTTAATATTTTACATAAAAATGTTCAGATAATAAATATCTGATTTCAAGTATGACTAAGATTCGAATTGATTAATCAAAGAAATATATATTCTAGAATATTGATAAAATGCAACTGTTTTACATTAGCATGAATTATATGTTTAAAGTCATGGAAAATTGTATCTTGTTAAGTAAAACATGAGTCAAAAGTTCTGACTTGTTTTAATATATTTTTTTTATTAACATATGCAAAACACTCTTCTTAACGAAGACTTGATATAATGTTTGCTTACGCCATCTTTTAATATTTTGCTTGTAGCTAGATAGATTACAGTTTTTGTTCGAAAACAAGAAAAGAAAGAAATTATCCTATTTTTTTTCCTCTAACATATTATTCGATGGAATTTTTTCATTGGTTCGTTTATTATCGGTAAGAGAGAAAAACATCGCCTGTAGACGTCCTTTCGTATATATACCATCACGCCATATTTGCACCCTCGCTTTATTCCTTTTCTTTGATAGGAGGTGTGTTCTATATAAACCTCGAACTTACATCAGTTTATTAAAGAGACCACAATAACATCACTATAATAATGTGTTTTTCAATGGAAATGTCCGCTGCATTTGCAGCTATTGGCCTTTTTTCATCCTGGTGGATCTGGTCAAAAACATCAAATACTCAATTGGCCAGTGGTGTGTTTTTCTTTTTCACTATGGAATTATTGCAGGCAGTTCAATATTTCTTTATTGCACCTAATATTGAATCACCCATTTGCGACACAATTATTAATCAAGTTTTAACTATTCTTGGATTTTTACATATATGTTTACAACCATATTTTTGCCATGTTATCAATGCATCATTGACAAAAAATGCAAAATATATTGATCGTTATCTTATCATCAAACGTTTATGTTTAATTGGTAAAATTAAAAAAAAAATCTTTTCTATTAAAATTATTTCTATTATATATTCTAGGTGGTTTCATGTTATTTGGTCGATTTTTATTAGCTTATCAATGGCCACAAACATTGAATGGTCCATCAACAGAATGGTTACGTGGTCCTAAATTATGTACTTACCGAGGTATGAAAATAAGATAAATTTAATTTTAATATGATAATTAAATATGATACTTTTATAGGAAATTATCATCTTGCTTGGTCCGTACCAATGGCTGATCCAACATATGTTATTCCTGGCGCAGCTATTCATTCATTTTTAATGTTTGCACCATTCTTTGCTTTATATGAAAAGAAAGGCATGGTTATTCAAGGAATCTTTTTATTCGTTTTTGGACCTTATTTAGCCGGTCTTATTACACCAAATTTAATGGAACAAGCATCCATCTGGTGTTTCTTTTCTATTGCACAAATCTCAATTATGTTGTTTTGTATTCGTGAAACCTTACTTATTAACTGGGGTAAAAACAAAAGTGGTCACACATCATTAATCAGTGGTAAAAAAATAAATGATATCAAAGAAAAAATTATGGACGGAGAAAAAATTACCGAACAAGACAAAAAACAAAGAAAATTGGCTTAAAAATTATCATTTTAAAGCTCCTTTTATTTGTATTCCCTTAAAAGAATCAAAGATATTTAAAATAAAAAAAAACTTTAGAAGAACAAATTAGATTTGTTCCAATTTAGAAATGAAATCTATTAATCATATTGTGAAAAAATATTCATACACAGCTTTAGTTGAAATTATTTCTTATTCATGATGTGTCTCTATTGATCGCGTATGTTTGTTCTCAAATAATTTGATAAGGTTATCGTTTATAAATCAAAAAGGTCTCATTATTCTGTGATTCAGTTACGAATATTTTACATAAATACGTAATAAATAATATATCTGAGTTTATATTAATCATAAGGGCATCACATGTTTCGACGCTTTTTTTCGATACTGTCATATAAAGAAATAAGATAAATATGACGACTATTTACGCAGAAAAAAATCGTAGTGTATGAAATATGTGCACTTAATATAATTATTTTGCATTTATTCTTTTTGACTATTTAAATGTTGTTGAATTTGTTCAAAATCGAAACATTTACTTAAATCTTGATTAAATTTGTTCATTGGTTGTATAAGTGAAGAACACATATCATCAACTTCATCAATTACATTGGATAATTCATAATGTAGTGATGATATATCATTTTTAATCTCTTTTACTTGAAAAGCATCGTTTGTTTCAGTCAAACCAAGTCGAGGATCTTTATAATAAAGTAAAAAACGTTTGATAACACGTTCAATAACTATTTTATATGTTAATGTTTTATTTGATACATAGGATTGTTTACGTTTTAAGATATGTTCATTATTAAAGCTAACTGATTCTGAATCATCATCAACACTATTATCATTATTATTATTACCATTGGTTATATTAAGATGTAATGAATATTCACTTTTAATTCCAGTTGTTTTTTTAGTACTATCATTCTGAATGAATTTTTTCATGATAATCATTTGTTTTATTCGATTTACAAATTTAATAATTGATGTTGGTGATGGAAAAATATTCAATGGAACTGGTAAAGCATCTCCTAAAAATATAATTCATACATTATTATGATAGAGAAACTAAAATTACCATCTCTTATATATTCCATATAAAGTTTTGAACGAGCAAATTTCCATTCAATATCAGCACGATCATCAATATCTTCAATTGTTTTTTCTAACATGGCAATTAATGTATTAATAAGAACTGTAACACATACAAATGTAAAAAGTCCATAAAGTATAAAACCAAGATTTGATACAAAATTATCAAAGCCTGGTAAATAAGTACTTGGATTTGGTTTATAACAGGAAAGTGTAAGTAATTCATAACCACGATCCTATTAAATATTATCAATAGAAAATGATATAGAAATTTAGTTTAATTTATCATTAACGAAACTTACAATTGCACCATCACCAATAGCACCAAATAATGTAAAAAATGTTGTTTTAAGTGTTGATCCAAATGATTCACCAAAATAATAAATAGCTGGATATGGACCAACTATTTGATATGTACCATAATTAGAAGATTGTTCACAGAAAGTAGTATTATCTTGACTATCACTACTACTTGTATCATCATCTTCATTATTGATAATTAATGGAATTGATTGATTTAATAATTTATAGAAATAATCTGGACATTGTGAATTATTTGATACTGTTAATGTTGAAGAATTCATATTCAATGATGATCCTAATAGAATATTTTGTTGTTGAACAACAGCAGCAAAAAAAGAATATATTAAATACAGTGAACAAGCAAATGCAGAAAAAAATATTAGAATTATACCAATCCATTTTGCAATATTAATCATGCAATAATCAAGCATAACCTAGAATTGAAATTATTAAAATCTAATTGGTTTGAAAACTTTCAAAGAACTTTGTATCAACTCTTCTAATAAGAACTCAATACTTCTCATCTCAAAACTCCTATTTTCTTTTACTTGCAATGGGCCAACAAATGCAATCACTGGTAGTAAAAAACAAATTCGACAAATACTAGTAATATTTCCCATAGCATAAAAAGCTTCAGCTAAATTTTGTAGATCTCCTGGTTTCCAATAAAATCGATCAGCATTAAGCCAATAAAGTATATGACGAGTTTGATGAATATAATATTGTTTTTCATCATTCGACATTGTTTCATAACGAGCCATGTGAAACCAATAATTTGATGATTGAAATATATTCATTGACATTCGAGTACAAATCATTGATGAATACAAAAAAATCAAATAAAATATAAAAAGAATATCCATTGAACAATCAACATAATTACCTTAACAAAAAAAAATATTCTTATAATAATAGAACAAACGTTTTTTTCCACTTACTAGGAACCTTTAAATACACACGTAAACCTACACTAGCTATCTGTTTAATTTCATTCCACACAAATCCAATAATCCATATTGAAATAGCTATTTCAAATGGATTTGGTTTCATTGAACGAAGACTTATATCACAATTAACTACTGAATCAACAGTATTACTATCTGCATATTCGTCTATGCCAATGATAGCATTTTTTAATTCATTATTTTGATAGATCAATTTAATATAATTTGTATATATAGTTGAATTATAATTAGAAAGAGATTCAGTCTTTTCGAGATAAATAGATGAAGAATAACTTGATGCTATTATTAAAGCAATAAATATAAAATATGATGCAATATACGCTTTGAATTTTAAGTTAGGTTGTTGACACTTAAATAAAAAGAAATTTTAAGAAGTAGCTTTATTATTAATATTCTTTTTGTTATGCTGATAAACATACCAATGAACCAATTTTTGATTTAGGATATACATAATATATTAGAGCAAAAAATGGAAAACAAATCATATAACCAAGATAAAAAATAATTCGTTTGAATATATGAATATTTTGAATAACAGATAAATTTTTATACCAGTTTTGCATTAAATTTTGTTGACAATTTGAATGTGATACAAATGGTTTTTCTTTATATTGAATAGCTAAATCAAATCGAGCTAAATTTTCATATTTTTCTTCATGTGGTAAACCAGTTTTATTTAAAACAATTTTAAGTTCTTCATGTCCTCGAACATTATCAATTAATCGTGCAACAAATATTGATAATTGATCAGCTAATTTTCTATATTCTTGACTATAATAATGTTCCATCTTTGCAAGATACCGTAATTCTTGACCTAATTCAAATGCTTGTAAAATTGGATCTGGATATATTAATGCTATATAAACTTCGGATGCAAGACCTTTATATGCTGATAAACGACTTTGAGCTTGACGAAATGAGTCCGATATTGAATCAGTGGTACATTCAACACATGTACACATATATCTATGAGGTTTTTTTATTCGATGACCTTTAGATAATAAATGATGAACAATTAATAAACGATTATATTGAGCAGCAAGAATAAGTGGAGCTAAGATAAATAAAAAATATTTGAGAAGTTTTTATTAGTTAGTTAATAAAATTACTTGTATCAGAACTAAATTGTGAATCATCATAAGCTTGTGGATCTATTGGATCAAGAAATCCACCTGAAAATGTTCGATATGTTTGATGATTTAATATATAATTAGCTATAGTTGTATGACCCAGATAAATAGCTAAAAGAAGTGCATCACGAAATTGTTCATATGGAATTTTATCAAGTAAAATTTCAACCACTTCAAGATGTTCATTTTCAATAGCTAATTGTAGACCACTTTTACCCATTTTATTTGATATATCTGCTTTAACTTTACCTTCTTGTAAAAGTTTATATACAAGCATATAATCACCATGTGTACAAGCATATATAAATAAATCTAATATATCATCAAAAATTCGATTGTAATATGTATAGGTAGTAGATGAAATACTAAGACGAGGAACTTGTGCCATTCTAATATTTTTCTTCTAGGAAATTGTCAAAATATATTTCATGTCTTATTTTATAGGGTTTTATATACAAATAGTAGGAAGCCTCAGGATATACTGGATTTAATCTGATGTGAAGATGGTGTAAACATGAACATTATGCTTTATTTTTATCTTACCGATTTTTTTTTCTTATATATCATGCAACGTAGATAAAAGAAAGAGAACATTTAAAAGTACTTGTTTCAAACAAAAGGATTCTATATCCTCTCAAATTTCAATTTTTCAAGTAACATTCATATTACTAAAAAAACACATACTATGGCCTCGGAGACATAAGAAAGTTTTTAATCAATATCAGTCATTTGTTTCATATAATTAATAAGAAAAAAAAGCAATCTAAAAAATCTAGAAAGTGTTCTTTGTCAAACATTCCCTAATATTTCATTAATAACTTATTGTTCAATATTAAAAATGTTGTACAGATTAGAGTGTGGGTAACTGTCGAAAGCTTGCTTAGCTTTCTCTTTAATATTGTTTTATGTTTTGAAAAGTCATAGTATTGGTCATAGCTATTTGAACGTGTACTACTTTTGTCAGTGCGAAATGACAACAATGGTAGTGATTATAGTTTTAAAAACTATATTAGATTGCATGTTACTAGAGGAATATCAATATCTGTAAAAATATATTTCATATACAATTTCGTACCAGCAAACATCTAATCATTGAAGTGTTTGTTTATTTATTTAAATGAATCTAAAACATAATACTATGTATAATTTAGTCAAGGGTGTGGGTGGGTGGGTAAAGGTATAGATGAAGATAAAGTAGATACAGCCACAGCCACACCCACCCCGCCACACCCACATCTTCATTTATGTGCTCCAACTCTTCTCTTTTAAATACTTACATTTATTTGTTTTTGTAATTTTGCCTTTCCCTCGTCTCTACTTATTTTTCTTTATCTTTTTTTTCCTCTTGTGCCTTGTACTGCTAAGATTTAATTATCATAGTTTATATTAAAAAAAAAGGATAAACCATCTAATAATAGAAATATTCTTTGATTTTCGTACTGATATATTATTGTTACTTCATATATTGTAATCGAATAGCAAAACATCAGTTTCTGAATTTAAACTTTATTTCTTGGAAATCTTCTCAAACAAATATTATGTTGATAAAAACATATTGATTGTACGGTTTACCTTTTGTATCATACATTTTTATGATGATAGCAAACAAAGATTGAAAAATGTTCTCAATTTCACATAATCAAGTATTCTATCTCTGTAATTTTCTTTAGATAATATTTTATTTGAATAATAATAACATCGAGAGTATGACAAGTAAAATCTATTTAAGAGAAGGAAAATATTGATAAAAACTTTCTGAATGAACAATTGATTCATTAACGCATATACAATTTAATTGAGCACAATTTCGACGAGTTGTATCACGTGTAAAATTTTCAGTAACAATTTTCAAATGTTCATAAGAGATTACTAAATAAATTAAATGTGGTAATATAATATTTTTATCAACCAAAAAGTGTTCCGGATAATCGATATGACTTAAAATAAATGTCAGATTATTAAGGTAAGGAAATTCAATAATTGATGATTGATTTAACTGTTTATATTGTTGTGGTTCTTGATTACAAATACACAAATCAGTAAGATATGGGAAAGATTGAGCAATTTTTATGAAAAACTGATGTTCAAATGAATAATGCATGTCTATTAACGTCAAAGAGCGTACATTTGAAAGCGAAGCTCCTGGAAAATTGCTACTGAGATGAAGAGTTTCGTTAATTGTATATGGAAGAGAAAATAAGTGAGATCGAGCACCTCCATATGGATCACAATCGATATAAAATATAGCTTGATTATATCTTGTGTCAATAAATGTATTTTCTGATTCATAATTTGTTTGTTCAATCGATTCAACGAAAGTTGTTATTTCGAAATCAAATGTTAGAAGTTGTGGTAGATGACGAAAGATTTCGTTTTTGAAATGAAAACCATCAATAAATGTAGATATTCGATGAACAGATAAACATAGTGTCAATTTTTCGAGATAAATCATTCGGTGAACAAGTGGTAAAATAGAATTATCATACTCTGATGTCGATTTAGATGAAGTTAATGAAAAACATCGAATATTTAGTAGTGTCTTTAAGAATAATATTTAAATAAAAAAGATAAACAAAACATTTCTCATGAGATATTTTTACTTTATTATCAATATCAAATGTTGCAGATGTAATTTTATAAATATTAACAATAAGTTTTCGTAAATAGATCAGTCGACCATCAAGAAGACGTAAACAATCATCTAATGTATCAACATCAATACACAAATTCACAACATTTTGTAGAAAAGAATTCGTTTGACATGAATTATCAATTGTTAAATGTGCATATCGTCGCCAAAAACCATGACAAGTAAAAGTAAAATCAATTAAACTTGTAAATATTGAAGAAATAAATGCATATAGATTCTCATTATCATTAACAAGTAATAATTTTAATTTCGAATCATCAATTGAAACATTCAAATGTGTTATATTTTGTTTGAAAAGATTCAGAAATGGTGATTGGTCTAAAACAGATTTATAAAAGATCGTCAAATTAAAGTATTTTCTTACCAATGAAATAATGTCTTGTTGATTGATGACCAAAATTGACAAGAATCAACTTATATAAATGAGGATATTGAGCAGCACAAAGAATACGTTCCATCGAATATGGTTCAAGTGTTAAACATTCAATATTTTCATGTATTTGTGGTAAAAAATAAGAACAAAGTTTATTCAATAATGGATCGGACAATGAACAATATTTATGATTGGAATCTTTATCAATAAGTTGAATAGAACGAGTATAGTTGATGTCACGAATTAATTTATCAAATCTTTTATTAACACCTATAAATGAATAAAATACATCAAGATTGTTAAGTTTATTCCAAATCATAATGAGAAGTTCATCAGGTAAATCTTCTATATAAGCCATTTCAAACGATTCAACTTTAGTTTGTGATGATATGACAATGATAACTTTAGTGCAAAGTATGCTAATAAAAAGCATCATTACATCAACGAATCAGCAATAAACATATTGACAAGGATGACATATACATTGAAAGAAAGTTCATGAGGTCATGCCATAGAGCATATACAATAACCAGTTTGGCAATATCATCATCAGGGAGCGTTCATTATATTGCGTTTTCTTCTATAAATGAATTACCTAGATATTTCGAAGAGTAAGAAAATATCCAACATTCAGTATTATTTATAAATAATTCTTGATGAATGAAAATATGAGCGTGGGTGATGCAGAGATAATAACACCTACATCCTCAAGATGCAGTTGCATTTTTGAAATAAAATTAAAAGTACAATTTCAGAAAATATTTGTTAAAGATCAAATAAATTTAAAAACTCTCAACGAATACATATCGTTTATCTCAGATTTATATGCTATAAGTATATAAATAACGCTCCTCGAGGTGACTCGGTTAACTTTCGACTGATTTTCACCTTATTCCTATGTCCCCGTAAAACGTTTGCGAATATATATCAAACCATCCGTCGCGTAATCGGTCGTCGGCGTCCCTTTGGTCCACTACTCCCGACTGCTCGATGATTTGCATTGTATTTACTATTTACTAAAAACGTCACTTCTCTTTCTCTCCGACATTTCACAAATAACCAAACTACTTCGACAGAATTTCATATTAAAAATAAGGTTGTTCGATGATAGTATTTGTGAGTAGTTGTATACACAGACTAGCAAACACAGAATATAATGCCGACCAGAGACCGTCACAGGGCAGGGCAGGATGCAACAGGGCATAGGGCAGGACAGGGCAAGATTTTTCACCCTGCTAATTTTTTTCATAAATATGTTTTTGGCGAAATTTTTCGAATCAGCTATATTGATATCAAGACCAATTAAGTATCTATTTTGCAATACTCCGGTCTCAGTTACAACTTTTTCACTATACATTATACTTCGATTTCTAATATTTTCATTAATTTTCTTTTATATTTTTTGTCTAACCGATGCTTGTAACTACACATCAGACTTGGTCCCAAAATATTATGAAAAAAATATAAGGATTGAATAAATATGCTAATTTATCTATGTCTCATAGAATAAATGTAAATATAATCTATACATTTATAAAATAAAGATTGATCAGTTTTTTTTCACAACCAAAGATAAAATAGAAATGAGGTGTAAAGCTTTTTGTGTCATAGGTAAATATACGAATGTCGAGAATGATAGAGTATGTGAATAGGTACTCTTACCCACCATCAAAATCACTTACATACGTAAAACTATTCATAAATGAAGTGGAAAAATAAAAAATAACTAATATCATAGACTTTTTGAATATTTTATTTATATTCATAATATCGTATATTTCTATAAGCTGCTTGATAGGCATTAAAGATTAGGCTTTTTTTTATATAAATAGATCCTTTATTATTTGTTTTATCTTTATCTTATTAAAGCAAATTAAAAAAAGTATTTGTCATTATAGTATAGCAAGAAAAAATGTCTTTCGCTGTATTTCATAAAGATCAATACTACACATATATTTACTTTTATAAACTGGTACTATAGTTATCTTCTGTAAATATGCAGATTTTACTTGTATATATTCTTCATTATAAAAATTAATAACAATAAAGTAAGACCCCAACATTAAATATTCAATTAAAAAAACGTTTTTGTCAAGATATCAGATGTTTTAACAGTGAAGATCAAGTTATACGCCCTGCAGGGCAGGGCAGGGCCAAAAAACATACCCTGTGACGGTCTCTGAAATAGTGATTAAAATAAGAAAAGACAAAAATTTCCCGTTGTTATTAGGGAGAACTGCTCTAAGTTATAAAACACTATAAAATTCTAATAAAACAAAAAAGAACATTAATCATTTTTTTTCTTGTCAGTTATTTTTGTTTGTTCGTTTTCAATAATAATCATAGCCAATTGACTACGTGATGCTAATCCTTTTTCTTTTTGCATTAAACATCGATTATATTCAATATTATTCAATTGTTTTATTGAATCACATTTTATTGGATGATAATGAACGCGTAATGATTGATCTGGTGCACGTAGAATATGTACATCAGTTAATTGTATAAATAAATCATAGAAATTCATTGATGATAAAGATATATTATGCAATAAAATAGTTTGTTTTAATTTTAAATAATCATCCATATATAATCCAATATGATCAAATGCATATGAATTAAACCAACCATGAGATTTATGTAGTTTAATTGTTGAATTATCTTTCATATGATGTGTACGTGTTATAATATGCGGATGATATTGATAAAAAGCAATAGGAAAGAATAATTGAACATTTTCAATCACATTTAAACGAAAACGATTTAAAAAATCTGATTCAATATTAACATATGAATTTGTTAAAAATACAAGTGAATTTGTTCGAAGTTTTGTTTCAAAATAATCAAGTATATGTGTTGTATGTGTATAACGTATTATTGATGATGTTGATGGTAAATGTATAGTATGATATGTTACTAATAATTTCGTTCGTATACGATGTATTAAATCAATTTCATGACGTATATTATTAAACCATTCTTGTGATTGAGATAACTCTTGTTCTGTTGTTACAATATGTGTAAGAACTAATTCAAATTTATTACGAGTTTCTTTATCAAATAATGTTTTATTTGCATAACGAAGAAAACGTATTGCGACCGATTGTTCATTAGAATATATTGGTAAAATAAGAAAGATTTTTGTTGATTCAGTAACAAGTGGCATTGGAACTATTTCAACGAGTCCTTAAAAAAGAAATATTCGTTCAAATCTTATAATCTATAATCGATTTTTTAATTCAAAAGTCTACTATAAATATAAATATTTAGAAATACTCAAAAGTGATAACCGAGCTATTTTATTTAAAAAAAAACTATTTTTATATAAAATTTGACTACATTATATATATGTATCTCTGTATGTGATAAAAACAAAACCACTTTCTCAACCATCTGTAATACACAATTATCAATATAGTCAGTGGCGTAAATAGGGGGGGGGGGGCGCGTGGAGCGCATAACCCCCCCTGCTTCCAAAAAATAATAGGAAAAAAGGGTTTGCGCCCCCCCTATACCCCCCCTGCTCCGACACCTGACTTACACCCCTGAATATAGTACTAGATTTGTATGCAAATATTTAGTTATTTATTTATCTTACCTAATGGTCGCATTAATTCGGCACGTTTAATAAATTCAGTATTATTCTTATCGGTAAGCGATAGATCCATAAAATAATGTGTGCCTCGTGTTGGATCAAATTGACGATAACCATTTATTAGTTTTTTAAATTTTAATCTATTTTAAAAGAGAAAATAAAATCATTTAATTTCTATCAATAATTAATCCTACTGAATCCCATATTTCTTTTGTAATTGTTCAACAGCATAATTAATAACTTCATGTATCTCTTCGTAATCATCATCTTGAAAAAAAAATACATAATTTAATGAAAAAGAAAATAACAAATTACCGTTCATTGGATCGATAACATCCATATCTGTTTTTAAATAAATATGTGTTTCATTAAAATAATCCCAACGAAGAACATCAAAACGTGATGTTGGTTTAAATGGTGGTGGTACTCCAACTGGCCATGGAATATTTCCACAACCTTCTGGTGCATAACATGAAAGATTTTCAATAGTTCTTTCATATTTTGATATACTACGTGTCATTTCATCAATTTCAACTTGATTAAAATATCTAATTAGTTTTTTTTCAAATAAAAAGAAAATTATGATTAAAAAGATATTTTGGTTTTTTTTATACTTCTGAAGTTTTAACATTGTTTCAAGATCATTTACAGGATGAACAGTTAATGTTTGATTGAATTCTTCATTTTTAGATAACTTACCAATATCCGTATCAAATTCAAATAAATGATTTACATAAGCTGTAAATTTATAATTCTAAAAAATATTTTTGTATGAATTAGAAAAAAGAACAAAAAGATATATAGATTAAAAGAAACCGTACACTAGCCGTATCAACACAAGATGAATTAGTTGCTTTTAAAATACATCTACCAATATTATCAGTTAAATCTTGTGAATAAGCATTACTTGTACACCAATCAATTTCGTCAAGGACTTTGCGAAGTATAGTCTATAAACATATTTATTTCATTACTTTATCAAATAAAAAAAAATAATATTTAACATATATATAATATATCTACGCCATAAAATAAAGCCGACTCCTTTTTTTTGCTAAGTAAGAATTATGGCATTCTGTACCGTATAATTAGAAAATAGGAAAATATTTTGTATTCTTATTATAATTAAAACTATTTTCTATAGAATTCAAATTTATTAATACATACTCCTGATAAAATAATACCAGATCCAAAATAACAATATACAGCATGTACATCATTAATTGGTTGTCCCATATAAAGATCTTGATTAATACTAATATGATTTAAAAATTCATTTAGCTATAATATTGAAAAATATAATTTTATAATTAAATATCCTCTATTGAACTTACTTTAAAACCTCGTATATATGTATTATCAGGAACAAGTACAAACCAATCATATGATTGAATCATTTTTTCAGCCAGATATTTTAATATATGAATTGGTTTTAGATACGCTCGTTTATCATGTATTGCAACTACTTCCATACCTTTAGGAAAATCTTGTATATCTTTATCAATAAAAAATAATAAACGATTAACATAATTTTGTAATGTTTGATTGAGAAATAACGCAAATGTATTTAAATGATTTGTTTCAGTTATAACAGCAACAAGAACTTTTTCACGTATATTTAATTCATCAGCTATATAACGTGTTCGTATAAATTTCGATGTATTTGATGATTGTGTTGGTGTTGATAAAGATTGATTATTAATATTTTTTTCCATTGATGGTGGAAGTATTCGTGGTTCATAATCTTTACTACGATAATCATCGAGTGAAACATCAGTAACTGAACGTCCTTGTCGATTTAATATCCGATCAAATGTATCACGTAATGAAAATGTTTCATTTGAAAGATGATCATTTAATGAAGCAGAAAATGGATTAGGCAAAAGTAATAATGAATTATCACAAACATCTATCATTGGTAAACATGCTAAACTTAATGTAAAACCAAATGATAAACCAGCAAGTATCGACAATATATACCGAGGTCTAAGTCGACTACGATGAAATAAAAGTGATGTTTTTGAAAATTTATAACGCATTGATCTAATCAGTTTTGAACAAACCATTGAAAAATATTTGCAAAGATGTATACCACTGGTTTTAGTTGATAAATGACGATTACTGTTCAAATGAACTAGAAAAGAAGAGAAATATTATAAATAGAAAATATTTTATTTTACTTTAAATTATGAGAAAAGAAAAGTTCATTTAAGATATTATTAAATATGTTCAACTTGACAACTAATACTGACTCATAAAAATAAGAAGTACAATAAACATAATTATCTGTTTTTATTCTAATGTTTTTATTTAACTCTCGGTTACCGTCCTCATTTTATAACTTCAGCAGTATTCTGGGATCTGCGTGGATCCATAATCGTATTTTTTCTCTCTTACATCTATTCATAATCTTTTATCAGGATATTGTACAGCTACCAATACATAGAGATTACAAAAAACAAATGACCCGAAATAGTAAATAGTTGTGTAGCGCGAGACGAAAACCTATAAATATGGGTTCACGCGGATCCCCCAACGGGAACCGACGGTTAATCTAATATTTATAAATCAACTGGTCTTAGTGTGAAGAAGATAAATACGAAATAAATTTCAAACACATTTCTGTTGTATCACTTTTCGTTGGACTTCCAATATAATTATAATCCATTTTTCAAAAAAAAGGGGCCACGCGAAAATGATTATAACGTGTGAAGGGAACATGATAGAGACCAGCGGTTTTTTACCGTTGAACCGATCTTGACGCGGGACTTGCTACTACTGGAATGGCCAAGCATTTTGATGGAGTTTATCGGAATGCTGTTTCGTATGTAAGCTTGAAAAAATTATCATATCTGAAGGGCACGATGCACTTCAACATCTAATTAGTGCAACCGATTGCCAAGATCAAGATCTACAATTCAACGCAAACTCTACGTCTCTATCTTTTATAGTTCAAGATTTATGAACATTTTTCGGCAACGTATATATTTCTTTTTCGATCATAGAAAATACCGAAAAATGAGTAGTATGTTGTAAGTTTGATCATCTTAATTAAGATTTTCTCCAAAATAAAAATCATACTCAAAGTCCGCGTAAAAGATATACAAAACACACTATTATTTATAATGAAATATTTCGCACCGAAAGTTGACCGGTAGGGGACCACATGGAACGACTTAGGTGACAAAAGTTAAGGAGGAGCACGATTAGATTTTGCTAGGAAACTTTTTACAATAAAACATAGTGTTATCAGTGTATTTCTTGCGCTGGTTTTCAATACGATATTTATTTTGGATAAAATCTCAACTAAGATGATCATACCCCAAAAATACTATCAATTTTCGCTATTTTCTATGTTCGAAAAAGAAATATATACCTAACCGAAAAATGTTTATAACTCTTGAACTAAAAACGATCGAGACCCAGGGTTTCAGCAGAATCGTAGGTCTTGATCTGGGCAATCGACTGCTCTAGTTAGAAGTTAAAATTCATGGCCCTCTTGAGACATCATAATTTTCTCAACCTTACATACGAAGTGTGGGTGTAGATGTGGGTATTTATTAGAGAACTGCAAAGTGATTCCGGTCCCAGTTCTGCCGGGACCGGGACCAAAAAAAGTGATTTTGCAGTTCCCTAGTATTTATCGGCTCTTAACCCAGACCCTACCTAGTCGACAAAACGAGTTTAGAAGAAGCCGAAAGAAAATACGAGAAAAATGATTCAAACAAACATCGATACTGGTCTATGACGACATCTAAGCATTTTCTCCTTTCGAGATTTTTCATTTCGACTTTTTCTTTGACGTTTAGCAAGCAAATCGCCAATGCAATTGGTCCGATTGTGAGGTGGAATGAGTTGATATTATGCGCTTTTTAACTGAGATTGGAACGAATCATATTTGGGATTATGGTTTCGGAGATGGCGGCCTGATGCGTTTACTTGAATTTAATGTTCAATAAAAAGTAAAACTTTTGTATCTATCATCTTTTTTCCAAGGCTGTTGTATATTGCTTATTATCGAATTGTAAGGTCGTCCTTATGTTGTAATTTGATCGATTCCTCTAATAAGTATTGTTACTCAAGGTTTTATTTCATACGAAGCGCTTGTACACTCTTCACTCGTTTTTTTCTTTTTCATGTAATATTACAGTGTGTATATACACAAAATCGCATTATAGATTTGGTTGAGTGCACATATATTTAGTTATATGTAGATAGGATTGTAAATGTATAGAAACAAGTACATTAAGCGAACGAGAGTAGGAAATAATATATTTTAAGTTAATATAATGAAGCACGTGGTCGTCGTTGTAAAGAACGGTAAATTACCGATATAAGATTGTATCAAATAGCTGACGATAGTAGTTTTGTTTGGCTTCATTGTTTTTTCATTTTATTGTGATTTAAAATAAAAGTTATACAACGTAACAAAAAAGACTAACAGATTGATCTATCTGCTTATGATATTCTCTCTCATATTGATATTAACATCGTAATTATTGATCGTACATAAGGATTTTAATTTTTAATAGAATGATATTACACCATCTATCAATAAACTGCGCAAACGTTGTATTTTTTATTAACAAGAATAATATAATATTGTTGTTTAGCAGCTATGTCGTACTGAAGAAAAAATATTTTGCTTCTTGTAGGTTGTGAATAGTGTTTGAAAAATCGAAAGATACATCTGTACATGTCTTCAGTAAAGAAAAACACGATCACTGTATTTGTCTAATAATAAAATATTTTATCAAAAAATAATTTTATTTTAAGATACAATTCAACGTTTACAACAAATAATAAGTTCAAAAGCAAATGAACGTAGCTGATTGCCTAAAAAACTAATATTACTTTTACTTAAATCAGCTGAATGTGAATGTGTTGAATTAGAATTTAAATAATGGTTTTTATTAATTTCGTCTGAAAATAATACATCAGATATATAAATAATAAAACTGTTTTTTCATTCTACAAAATTCTTCTCATTTATTTCTGATTAACTTTTGATGCTATGTCAACGATTATTTCACGAAAAATTTCTTATTTTGAAAATTATAAAAAAAAAACAATTCAATTTCATCAATGAAGATTTAAATACTCCACATATATCTGAAAGTAATCATTTATCTGATCGTATCCGTTATCTTATTAATTATAATGAATAAATTGAACTTGTTCATAATGATATTAATAATAAATATCAAGCATTATTACTTCAAGTAAATATGTTAGCTGGTATTATAAAACAACATAACGTAAAAGTAGGAAATCATAAAACAAATGAAGAACAATTAAAAGATTTTAATGACCAACTTTTAAATGAAAATGAAAAAATCTTTTCGAAATAAGATCACAATGATCTGTTATATGTATTTTTATAGTTAATCTGATACTTACTTGAGTCAAAAAAGAAAAGAAGCATTAAATTGTGATACACAAAATAGAACGATACATCTAGATGATTGAATTCAGTTGGTGTCTAAATAATCTATCTATATGAGAAGATTTAGTTAGGAATATTGCTTTCAACTTCCAACTCTAAAGATCTATGAATAAAATCAGAGAGAATATTTTGAAGATTCGACTCTGAGATTAATCATTCTGGTCGATACTCTTTTTGATTCCTCATTTAAAATCAAGCAATATTATCTTAAACGTTTTTAGTTTACTTATGAAAAAAAGATGTAATTTGTATTCCTCTTGGAAATCTTATATTTTATTATTTTCTAAAAGGAATTACAAACAAAACGTGAAACTATAAAACGTTATGAACAAGAATTACAATCAATGAAGTGTTTACTCGAAATAACATTAAAAGAAAAACAAATACAAAATGATCAATTACAGTATGAAAGACAATGTAAAATAATTTTTATAAGTTTTAAAATCAAAATTTATACTATTTTTCTATATAAAATTAATAGTTTTAGGAAAAAGAAATGATTGATAATGAAATCTATCAATTATCAGATGGTAATATGCAACAAAATGATAATCGATTTATTCAAATGAATAAACTAGCAGTAAATTTAGTTTTTGTTATTTTACAAATTAAAATAAATTATTTTTCATAGGATAATGAAATAACAGAAGATGTTATATCTCGTCGACTAACATCAACACCAACATAAATTACAATCAGTTACTTAACCATTAGGAATAACTAAACAAATTAATGAAGTATTAAATGATATGAAAAATTTATTAAGATTTGGTCGTGAAGTTATTATTAAACATAATGATATTGTTTCAGAACGAGATTTTAAAGTACGAAAAAGAAGTAAATCACAACATTCAAGAATAGAAGGAACTACTGTTATACGCATTGAATATCATTAAGGTAGATTATAAGTTGTTGTTTTTTTTCCACAATTGTTAATTGCATTTTGGTGTTATTAGCACATTTTCAAAGTCTGTTTTTTTTTGTAATCAAAACTTCTCAATAGACTATCATATACTTTTATTTAAAGGTATAAAAAAAATAAAGTGAATTTTACATATTTGTTGTGATCAACGTTTGAGAAATATTTATTTTATATCGAGATGCACATAAAAAAATAAAAACTATTTAATCTAAGATTCAGACTGTTTTAAATAGGATAAAAAAAATGAAAGTTTGTTTATGTAACTATATAAACACTAAATTGAAATCAACTGGAAAACAAACTTTTTAATTATATTTTGTGTTTATTATTGATTTGTATATCTAGAGGGTGGGTGGGGGTGTGTGTGGATGTGGGTGTGGGTGTGGGTGTGGGTGAGGGTGTGGATGTAAATGTGAGCGTGGGTGTGGGTGGACGTGAGTGTGGGTGAGGGTAGGGTGTGAGTAGTTATTTGTGTGTGTTTGACAGAAGAAAAGACATCCACACCCACACCCTCAAGGAATTTTATACTGTTTCAAGCAGCAACTATTTCTTTATTCTCAATTAGTGTTCACTTAGCGTATTTGTTTGTTTATTGTAAATAAATATTATTTATCTCTGATAATAATTTATATCAATATAGTTTTTAAAATTGAGAACTATTTTTCTCTCAGTTGTTGGTATAAAAGATTTGTTTACATAGTTTTTCTTAAATTAGTTCGTTGATATCACATGTTAAAAATCTTGATTGGACACATTTACATAAATTTACTCGATAGAAAGTCCAAACCAGTTGTTTCATTTAATATCTAATCAAGAATATTACAATCTTGGAGAGATTTTATTAGACAAGTGTTGAGAAACATTATCAACGAAAATATTTTTTTTCTTTGTAGATAAAAATCTTTCTCTAATCAAAGAAAAGATTATGGAAGAAGTTGATCCAACTGTAATAAAACATCACCAGTTATCTTCATTATTAAATGTCTCACCTGTGTATAGTTCGTTTTTAATTCAAGACGAAGAAGATAATTCTCAAGAACAAACACAAATTAACAAGTTAGTTTCAAATCTTCATTGAAAATGATCTTAATCTAAACACCGGAAGAGAGAAATTTGTGAAGTTATTTTGAAATGAAATGACATTTTTTTGAAAGAATTATTTTTCTTTCGTGAAATTAATTGAATAGATAGAGTATTTCTTCCGTTAAAATTGTTTTATAAAAACTTTTCAAAATTGATTCTTTGTCAATTAGAAATGAGAATTGATTAATAAAGTCAAAAACGAATATTTAAATCATTTTCAATAGCCTTCTAAAGACAAAAAGACGAGAAGGAGACTAGCTCGATTAACCGTAACACATTATCGCTCTTTTTCGTTCTCTTATTGATATACGTGAGTTATTGAGGAGAGCCCATATTTATCGATGCAGCAGAACGAAAGAAAACTTCAACGAAAATTTTTGTCTCGTATATATAACGAACATCAATGACAGAACGAACAAAATCATATATGAGTCAATAAGATTTTTCATTTCAGAATATTTTACTCGTTCTCATCGATATTTCGATGAAATAAATCAAAATCTGCTAGTATAATAACTGATTAGATTTGTTCAAGCAGATCGGTTCATCTTAATCAATAAAATTCTGCACTTTTTCAATGTTATTAATAATATATGTACATAAAAATAAACTTTTAAAATCTCTTCCTCTTCATCATATCAGAAATAGTTGTACGCATAGATAAATATCGTTCAAAAAATCGTTTTCTAACATGAAATGAAAGAAACAAGAATAGAAATTATTTGCAATATTATCTTCCATGAATAAGATGCTTTTATTGGATTTAACGTATCAACAAAAGTTTTTTTTCATCATTTCAGAAGTAATGAATTGCACAATACAACTAACGAAGATTCATTCTTAACCTTATTTGCCGAATTGGATTTCGACAAATATCTCTCAGAATTTTCTCAAATGTATGAAGAACAGTCTTCTGAAACTGATATATTAATGGAAATGTCAAGCATGTTTAGTGATATAGAAACACCTGATGAGGAGCTTTACTCATTCGAAAATTTCATGAACACAGGAGATCCAATATCATCAATGATTTCGTCAACATCTGCGCTACATGGAGAACTAAGTGATAGTGTCGACGAATATCAAGAAAAATCAATAGTAAGTTATTACGTTTGTCGTCGTTTCAGAAACATAATGAGTTAGAAAAAATGTCATTTTTGTAAAATTTCTTGTCAATCGTTACAAATCTAAGCGAATATGGTCATCGAGCAGATGTAAATTTGTACAAGAATAATATATGAGTAGTTCAGCATGATTAGTGGCAAATCATTTTCAAGTTAAAAGCTCTTCATATTCATATAGTTTATATAGAAATGCTATGTTTTACGTTGATAAAAATGCCGAATTTCTGTAAAGAGACGAGAATATAGGAGGAGTTACTGATAAAAAAAATGTTGTTTAATATTTCATTTTGTATGTAATTTTTCATCGACAAGTTTCAAGCAGAAAAAATCACTTATTTTTGTTTCTTTGCATAAACATCATAAGTTCTGTTGAATGAGATTTGTCTGTTAAAATAATATCTTCAACTCTATTTAGATGTCTACATCGCAGATTTCAACAGACACAACAGCATCGGAAATTTACATAAAGAAGAATTTGAAGAAAAGAAAAGCAAACCTGACCAAAAATGATGCAAGACTTCTTATTGTATTTAGGTTACGTGATGATATAAATGAAACTGATCTATATAATTATTTTGTTGGATCCAATCACGTCATAATAAAACAATGTCAGACAGCGTCTCTCAAGTATTGTTCTATCCCCAATAATATTCTTATGTATGAGTATCTTTCCTTTAGATATGCTTTTATTTTGCATGGAACAGCCGAAGAAGCTAAACACAATTTTGCTCAATCTATTGATTATATTCGTCTTGGTTCTGGATGTCGTGTCAAATATGCAGGTGATTCTTCGTGTCTTCCTGAGGATCATCAATCACATGATAAACAAAAAGTTGTAGTTACGAATATACCAGAAGATGTTAGTGAAGATGATCTGCGTCATTTATTTCCTAACTCTCGCGTATCGAGTTATTGTCCAGCACGGACTGTTCTTCGTAAAACTGTGTCCACCAAAATCTCCGGCAGACACAAGACTTTATGGGGGTAAAAATTCCACTTTAATTTCACTTTTTTATCATATTATCGTTTCATTTCTCTATATCGAAATGTAAAAGACAAATATTTTACCCATACTCTGCGAAATGAAGTTTCTCCTTATTATTCGTATCTGTTATATTTAAAAAGTTCTAAGCTTTTATCGATAATAATATCTAATTTGATTCTCTTTCTAAAATGTCTTCTATATTACGAATAGACAGGAGATCGAGTTCCGTTAGTATATAATAGAACGATAGAATTAAATGCAAGTCTATTTAACAGAATTTACTATTGTCAAAGAGATTTAAATCATCGAGTAGAAATGAGTGTTTCTTATAAGTTCGAATTAAAATCTATTGATAAGAATTATCATTTAATATGAATCAACCTTTGGAATTTCGTTCCACGCAGGTTTTGAGAAAAGTTTAAATAAAAAACTTTCTTGGTCTCCGATTGGGGGGGGGGGGGGGGGGGGGGGGGGTCTAGCCCCCCCAAAATAAAAGTTGTTTCTGCCAAATTTTTTCTTATACCTTTGACAATTTTATAATTTTCGATCATAATGTAAATGGATGAAATTATACGATTTTTTCCGTAAAATAACGCTATTTATGTTAACTTCTAATTAAGTCACATGCTTATAAGAAAATCTACATCTTTCCTTCACAGTTCCTGCCAGAAAATTTATGATTTCTCTTTTCACAGTTTTTGCCAGAAAGTCTATCATCTCTTTTCACTATTTCTGGCATTAGATTAATATCACCTCGTTGAAATTCTGAATTCATCTATATAGCATAAACCCCCCTCCCCATATTAGAAGCCCAGGGCGCTTCTAATTTGTCTACCGTTTATAATTTTTGGAGGGGGCTTCTATTAAGTGCCAAAAAGTTTTCATAGACCATGATAAGGAAATCGATTCGGAAGGTTTCCACAGATTTTCAAGGTTTTCATCAGTTTTTCAGAAGATTTTTTGCAATTTTTCTACATTTAAGCACAGTTAGATAGGAGTTAGTCGAAATTTCACCTTAATATCGAGAAATTTTAGCAACTTCAGCAGGGAAACTCGAAAAAATTATGAAAAATTTTAAAAATTTTTGGGAAAAACTAGGGGGCTTCTAATACGTCAAACACGTTGCTCATCTCAGTGGGGGGGGGGGGGGGGGGGGGGGGTTTTTAATTGGGGGTGGGGTTTTTTTGTGGGGGGGGGGGGGGGGTTAACACATTTTCATTGATATAGTCATTTATAGTTCGTTTTTTTGAAATAAAGCTTAACTTAGATATTATCATTTGAAATAAAAGCATAGGTTTACTACTAACAGGTCTGCCAGAAAGTCTTTCTGGCAAAATTTAGCCCCCCCCCCCCCACTTTCAAAAGTAATCGGTAACCATGGTTCAACCTATTCAACGGCAATAATTAGTAGTGAGAATGATTGCTACACATATAAATAAAACAAAATTCTTTAACATTAGTTGCTGTCTTCATATTGTTTTTCATTAGATGGCGAGTGCGCGGATTGGAATTTATTCACACACTTGCCGTTATATCCTCTATCTAAATTCACCCTAACCTGCTTACGTCTTTGTATATAACTAAAGAATAATAGAACAAATATAATTTTTCGTTGATTTTATTTATGAATATTTATTCCTTATGTATTAACTCAATTTAGTGTAGAGTGAGAGGATCTGAACTGATTCAATCTCAATCATAAACATACTTTTCATTCTTTTCAAAGTTCAATTAATATTTTCTTCTAAGCTTTAAAATACTGATACATATTATGATTTAAGATGAGATATTTATATATTTCACTGACCACAGCAAAATTTTATAATATTTAATGAATTTGGAAAAAGTTATCTTGAAATCTCTCCGTCATCTATTTCTACTGTCTAACAGAAAAATATTTATTCTACTTTTATTGCTATCAAACTTTGGATAGAATGTCATTGAAAGCTTCTCTAACAGAGAGTAATGACGTATTATTTATAGAAAAATATAATTTTCTTTTGACATAATTATTCAAGTATAGTTTTTTCTTTATAATAAACACTTAATAAAAAAATTCATAATTGTTAATGTCAATTAGATATAGAATGATGAAAAAAAGTTTATTTTATTTATCATATTAGCATCTTCAATCATCTACCAATCGAAGTGGAAAGTCATACAAAATATATTAGTCTTTTAACGAGTAATGGAACGTATTAACATAGAATATTTATCTATTTATATTTATTTCGTTGTTAATATATTTCTAGATGAAATTAATAAGCTCATGGAATCATATCATTTTATGTTATATTTATTCGATGATTAAATCTATAATCAAATTTAAAAAGAAAGTAAACCGAAGACCACTACTATGTTTGTCGAATCTTTTACAGTTTAGAAAGAGATAAGGGTATAAATGAATGTTCTATGTCACTGTAACTCATATACATTTGACATATCTTTGAGAAAAGTCAAGATTTAAATATTTTCGTAGTATATGATATATAAACAGTATGAAATTTCTCGAAACTTTTGCTTTATCCGAAAAAAAATAAGTAAAGATATACATTAAAATGGAAGAACACACACAAAAATTTGATTCAGATGATAAACAATTTGAGCAACAACAACAACCATGGAAATCTTTATTTGATGGAAAATTGACGGACACGATGTGTCACATTCTTACACATCGTCTGAAAAATACTGATGAACGTCTTCAGACATTTTATGATATTAAAGTACTTTTTTTCGTCGAAGCTCCGACAGTCAAACATTCTATTTTAGCCGCCGTCGCCGACTAAGGTCGCGATTTAAACATCTTTTCTTATTTTTTCATTGGTCTACTATATTTAACTCCATTATCTTTTTGATTCTATCTTTTTGCTGAACACACATCAAAGATACTGTAGACATGATTAGAATGTTTTCAAAAAGTAATCCGTCTTAGTTGCGCAGTTTCTTTTGCATATAGAGACGAGTTAACACTTGCATGAACGATCTCTCAGATGTCATAAATTTTTTTTCTAACAACTTAATAGCAGTAATTTTCCAGTTGGATGAGAAGAAAGCTTTCTATATCCATTCATTTGGTCAAATAAAAATTGAGCAACATAGAAAAGCTTTTAAGCATTCAACATTTCTGTTCTGAACAATAACAGGTAAGATATTTAGTTCTCTTCGATATAAAGATTTCTCCATAGATGTCAATAAAACAGATCATTCTTGTACTCACATATTCAAAAGATATCTCATGATAATTCAATAACAGAAAAACAGTAGGAAAAAAGAAAATACTTCAATTTTTTCGACTTGTTCATATCTTTATGGAGTGTTTGATTAGTTCTTTTATTGCAACATCAATTTTATCAGTTCGCTCTTATCAATATATCATAAATAACTGCTTATTTTATTTAGTCACCACAAATTATCGTATATTAATATGGCAATACCAGATATTGTTAGCTTTTGGCTTCTTTTAATCTTTGGAATTCCATCAATCATATGTTATATTTTCAATCTTTATTATTTTCTCATGGATCGAACACTACGGAAAGGTCTTCACAATCATGTCATTATTCTCATTCATTTTTTTGGCCTTTTGTATATGATTACTGATTTTATCTGGTACATGTACTATTATCGTAATCATTCAGCGTTAGTATCATCACCCATATTTTGTCTCATATGGGTATGGATAGATTATACATTACCTCCCTCAATAACAATTCTCATGGCTTGGGCATCAGTTGAACGACATATTCTCATTTTTCATCAACACTTAACTGCAACGCCACTCAAATGTTTTGTTTTTCATTATTTCCCATTGATTCTATTTGGTATTTATCCATCCATTTTTTATTCTATTATGTTTTTCGTGATACCATGTGAGGTTTCTTACGATTATAGTCTAAATACATGCGGACTTTATCAGTGTTCATATATTCAGCCAACATTAGCTATGTGGGATAGTATAGTTGACTTAATTATACCAGGTTTTGTGATTGTCATTTTCAGTCTATTACTTATTGGTCGTGTTTGGTATAACAAATATCGAATGGGTCAACAATTTCGATGGAGAAATTATAGCAAGATGCTATTTCAGTTACTATCGTTATCTGCTCTTTATTTTATTCTCTTCTTTCCATGCATAATTTTATATACAGCTTATACAGCTGGTTTATCACGCGATGTGGGTGCGGATTTTTTCTTAGTTGCTTTATTTTTCTCTTATTTTGTAACATTATTTATTCCTTTTGTATCGATGGCTGTATTACCTGAACTTCGGTCGAAAATGCGAAACATTATTCCGTTGGATCGACGACAAAGAAACGCTATTGCTCCCATAATAATAGCAGTTCTCGGCATGGCAAAGGCTCATCGATTTGCCCGCCGAGTTCCTGCTATTATTATGGGAGCAATAGCGTTTCTTTGTCGTCG